CTCTCCAAGGCCTTGGCACCAGACCAGCACCACCAACACCAGGACTAGCAGCAGCACCAATGAAACCACCACCGTGTTTGGAGCTGGGAGGGGAGTTGTTGGCACCTTTTGCCCAGAAGCAGCGCACATTAGATCGATCCACCTTCAGCACACTTGGTTACGTATACGCAAGTTGTGAGTTACATGGTACACGTTGTTTTGTCACACAGAAGAGATATCGTGGAATGCCCTGTCTGCTTCGTAGGTCGTCCTTCCCATGTAGTTTGCACTGCACCAGACTCGCCACCCGTCTGGTCTGACCACAGGAGGGTTGGGCACACTGGACTTATAAACCAAGACGGCGCTGGCCACGCGAAGCGCATTCGCAGGCCGTTCGCTCTCTGCCAGAGGCCCTGCACCGTGTCAACCCGTCGTTGTCCGAGCCTCCTTTAACATTGAATGGTTACGTGCGTTCTGCCTCGTAAGCTCCGGCCTGATACGCCCCAAGGCGGCTCTAAGGCGCCCCCAGAGCCTCCGAAGGAGGTCGCCGGGATGCCAACACCGTCGAGCTTGCAAGGGGGGCGCACGCGCTCAGCTCACCCAGATTGTGGCAGCACCCAGGGGGCGAAGGCCAGCGGGATCTGCCCAGCGCAGCACCACCCCGAAAACCCCCAGAGGCCCAGGAAAGCTGCGACCGCTGCGCGCGGATGCGCTCACGCAGGCTGGGTCCAGCTGGATCTGCGTGGCGTGCCTCCCCGCGGGACCCGCCAGGCAGCGCAGGGACGAGAGCGACTGCTGCACGCCCCGGGGCACCCACGCGGGGCGAGGCCTAGTCTGATCTGCGTGGGGGAGGTTGGAGCGACAAGGGAGAGACTCGGCCAGGCGAAACTCGGCCAGGCTGGGGTCAGCTGGCTGAGTTCAGCTGGCCGAGTTCAGCCTGACCGAGTTTTGCCCGGCCGATGTTAAATGCTGCATGGGCTGGAGGGCGAGGTCTGGTTTGATCTGCGTGGCGCGACGTGGCGCTGGAGCCCCCAGAGGGGCACAAGAAAGTGGCGCAGGACTGGCGTGTGAGACTGGCTTGCGACCGCTGCTGCGATTGGCAGCACTCGGGGCGGGATGTGGTTCGGGCCTGCGTGGGGTTTGGTGGGGGTGGGTTCGGGGACAAGCCCGCTGCAGCCCCCTGGGGCTCAGGAAAACTGCTACCACCACACATTCTCACAGCACACAGGGGGGTGAGGCAGATCTGCGTCGCGCTGCTCTTCGCTGGGTTTCGAGGGGGCGCCGCACAGGAGAGTGAGTGCCCACATCCTTACGCGGGGGGGGGGCTATTTGGATCTGCGTGGCGCAGCATTCCACTGGAACCATCAGGCTTGCAGGAGCCTTGTGGCAGGAGCGAGTGCGGCAACACCACGGTGGGCAGAACGAGTTTGATCTGCGTGCGGCGAGGCACTCCGCTTCCACTGGACATCCCAGGGGCACGTGAAGCCTGGCGACTGTGCGTTTGTTTGGCTGCACCCAGGCAGGGGGGGGCGAGGTCTCGTGCGATCTACGTGGCGCGGCGTCCCGCTGGACCGCCGCCCAAAGCGCAAGCGTGTTTCGATCGACTGACGCTTGGCAGCACCGATGTGGCGGCAGTTGGGCGCTCGGCAGCAACCAGGAGGGGGGAAAGTTTCCGCTGGATCTGCGTGGCGCGGCACCCAGATGGACACCCCAGGGTCGCCGAAGCGTGGCGGCGGGTGCATGGTTCGCAACACCTGCTGGACAAAGGACCACGTCCTGTTGGACGCCCAGGAAGCGTAGGAAGATTGCGGCAGTTGAGGGCTCGGCGACACTCAGGTGGGGGTACCATTCAGGGGCCTGCAACACGCGTATTGACGACGTTCAGCCCGTATCATTATCAGCTCCTTCGGCGGGCGTTGTTCGATCCTCTCCTCTCCCTTGATCCTATTTGCCCTGCGGAGCACGTCTCCCACGATGCCCTGTTGCAGTGTTTCGGCGGCCGCGACACGCGGGCCGAGCCGCTCGCGGCCGACTGCAACCAGCAATCGGATCTTAGCCATCATCAGCATCATCGTTGTCATCATTGTCATCATCATCCTCATCATCCTCCTCCTCATCATCACCATCATCTTCACCAACACCACCACCATCGCTCCCCATCGCGCCGCCCGTCGGTGGAGGAGGATTGAGGTGAACTGGGGGGGCTTCACTAAATTCCGGGCGCCGTGTCCCATTTGACATCAGAGATGAGGCAGTGGCAATCATGAGAAGCATCAACATCATGCACCCTGTGGCAGTCGGCGGGTATTTTGGGGTCGTTGCTCCTCGTCGCCTGTGGGACCGCATGACCCTGTGCACGTCCGAATGCATTGCGAGGCAGTTGCTGAGCACGCTCTTGGGCTCTTGTGTTTGTCACTGGGTGATGATGATGATGCTGTAATAATGATGCTGATGTCGATGTTGGTGTTGATGTTGATGACGATGATGGTGTTGGTGATGATGATGATTGTGATGATGGTGATGCTGCTGCTGCTGATGATGATGATGATGATACTGGTGTTGATAATGCTGATGCTGATGCTGATGCTGATGCTGCTGCTGCTGGTGATGCTGATGATGATGATGATGATGATGATGATGATGATGATGATGATGATGATGATGATGATGATGATGATGATGATGATGATCGCGCTCTCCAAAGGTGATCCGTCGCAATACCGCGAATGCTCACCGCCACAGGCTGCACAGACCGATGCCCCTCCCACGCGCCCGCGGGCACGCTGCGCCGGCGAGGACAGGGTACCATTACGCATTCCTCTCAGTGCTAAAGGCAAAGGATATGGATGGCGTGCGCGCGCGCCCGCACAGCAGCCCGATAGGCGACCCGTAGGCCCCCTGGCCTTCATTCAAGCGTGTCAATGTGAGACCAGGCCGATGCGAGCGCCTCCCCAATCTCGAAACGCTCCTGCTCGTCTGAATCGTCGTCGGCGTCGACCAACGCCCGCTGGGCCTCTATGCACAGGGCCTCCAACTGCGAGATGCGGTACATGACCACACCGCGCTTGGTCGCGCGGGCGCCATCCCACTTCATGGTGGTCTCGATGCCCTGCGTGGCATCCTCGAGGCGCTCCCAGAGGTCGACCACGCAAGTTTGCTGGGGGTGGCGTGTCGGAGTCGCCGTCTGCCTCCGCAGCCGCCGCCGCCGCCGCCGCCGTCAGCTCCCCCCTGTGCATCGCCTCTACGCCGTGCTTCTCCTCGTGCTCGATCGTGCCCACGAGCGCCTCCTCGGGCCGCATGCTAGCTTCCGCGGCAGCGACGCCCGCGCCCGCGCACGGGATGGCCGAGTCGGGCGTGGACTCGGCCAATTTTTCGCGCGGGCGGGGCACCGCCCTCATGGGGGCCGCCCGCCAGCCACACCGTGGCGACCTCAGTGACCTCAGCACGGGCGTTCATCATCGCCATGCTGGTGCCGCGCTGATTTCCAAGCTGTAGCTGATCACGTGTGGGCTCAGCTTCACCGCCAGCTCCTTCTCGCAACTGCCACTGCATGCCAGCCGCGCCCTAGCTCTTGCGTCGCGATCGTGCCGTGATCGCTGAGCTCCTTATCGAGCGAGGGGAAGGGCGGCACCGCCAGCAGGGGGTTGGTCGCGCAACTCTTCTCCGCCTCGCCATGGCCGTCCAGCTCCGTCCCGTTCTCGCCGTCGTGCACCGCGTCGTTCACCCCGCCTGCGACGAGGCCAACCGCCGACAGCGCGGGGCGCGCCACAAGCCTGGGACCCTTCTGGGCTCGGCGTAGCGAGCGCGCCGTCGCCGTCCCCAGCGGCCAGGGCGTCAACGCCGCGAGCGCAACGTTCCTCCGCAGCGTGCCGACGGGCGACTCAATGGCCTTGCCGTGCACCATGTCCTTCAAGTGCACCGCCACCACCGCCAGGCGCTCCGCCGCGTCGGGGTCCCCCAGCGACTCCAGCAGCTCCTCGCAGCGGCTCCGCCAGCAGCGCACGGCCCGCCGCAGCGTCGTGGGCGAGCACGTCCCCCGGCCAAATGGGCCCACGCCCGGCCCGCTCGGCGCCTCTGCCGCCGTGCTGCGCTCGGGCGGCACGCAGCGCCGCCCGCGGCGGAGTCCCGCGAGGGGGGCCGCCTCCCGCGCCATCACAAGCCGCACCAGCCGCCCGATGGAAGGCGGCCCGAAGGTCTGAGCCCAAATGGCTACGGATGATGATGATGATGATGATGATGATGATGATGATGATGATGATGATGATGATGATGATGATGATGATGATGATGATGATGATGATGATGATGATGATGATGATGATGATGATGATGATGATGATGATGATGATGATGATGATGATGATGATGATGATGATGATGATGATGATGATGATGATGATGATGATGATGATGATGATGATGATGATGATGATGATGATGATGATGATGATGATGATGATGATGTGGTGATGATGATGATGATGGTGATGATGATGATGATGATGGTGATGATGATGATGGTGATGATGATGATGATGATGGTGATGATGATGATGATGGTGATGATGATGATGATGATGATGATGATGATGGTGATGGTGATGGTGATGGTGATGGTGATGATGATGGTGATGGTGATGGTGATGGTGATCATGATCATGATGATCATGATGTTGATGCTGATGCTGATGATGATGATGATGCTGATGGTGATGATGAGGATGATGATGATGACGACGATGGTGATGGTAATGATGGGGATGGTGATGATGGTGAAGGTACTGGTGATGGTGATGATGGGGATGGTGACGGTGATGGTGATGGTGATGCTGGTGATGATAAGGACGATCATGTTGATGATGACAATGATAATGATGATGAGCATGATCATGTTCATGTTCATGAGCATGATCGTGATGATGATGATGATGATGTTGATGGTGATGATGACGACGATGACAATCATGACAATGATGAACATCATCTCCCCGCCCCCCCCTGCCCACTCGTGCGGCGCCGAGGCCCCCGCCGCCGGCCCCGCGCCCGGCCTCGCTGGCCGCCTCGGCGGCCCAACCCAACAGCCTGGCGCCCATGCCCCCGCTGCCCTCCGTCCCGCCCGCAACGTCGCCGCGGAGCCCCTCGGCGGCGCCCGCGGCGGTGCCCGGGGAGCACGCAGCACAAGAGGCGGGGGCGGAGGAGGAGGATCAGAGGATCGATGACGAAGAGGAAGAAGAAGAAGAAGAAGAAGAGACCCCAGACATGAGCGCATAGAAGAAGAAGAAGAAGAGACCCCAGACATGATCGCATCGTGAAGGAATCACGACGGGAGGTGTTTGGCCACTTTCGGCCTCCGGGGGGCCCTCAGCTGGGCCCCGGGACCATCAAGAAAACGATTCAGGATAAAAAAACAGCCTTGGGGAAAGGGTCGGGACTTCCGGTATATCGAACAAAATCAGGACGTCGCATGTCTGGGACGGCATAAGCATAGAAACTCGGAGCTCCGAAAGCTTACGAACACGCCGTTGTTTCCTCTTCTAGGTGAGCTGATCACAGAGATCTGGGCTTTGCGAGTATGTCACTACGGGGATTTCGCCCACGTTCAGGCCATGGGACCATCACAGATCGTTCCAGTTCGAAAAATGCCACTGAAAGGCGTGGTCTGGAGCGGCGCTGGTGATTTTTCACGATGTCGCATTTTTTCTTGCTGTCGGATCTGAGGGAAGGTGCGGTGCCGATACTGCTACCCGTCTTGGAGATCCCTCGTCGCCACGGCAGGATTCTCCTCGAAATTCTGGTCTGAACGCACCTCAGGAGAGGTCCCAGGAGACGATGTATTGTTTGTGGTTGTCCCCCCAGAGGTCTTGTCCCCGTCCACCCTCCTCCCCCTTCCCCTGTCCCCCGCTCCCCAGACCCCCGACGTCGTGATTTTTGTTGCACGGCGTCGACCCCTAGAGGTCTGGACCCCGTCCCCGGGAGAGGCTTTTCATCCCGAGTCTTTTGATTGACGGCCCCGAGGCCCAGGAAGGGCCCCAGGAGGCCGAAAGTAACGAAAAACCTCCCGTCGCCACTTCTTATTCTAAAGACGCGAGGGTGCCTGGGCCGGCCTTCGTCCCACCCTGAGATCCGACGTTGCAAAAAAATACAACATCGCAAACAATGGCGCCCGGAGCCCCGGACCCCATCCTTCTGCGACATTTTTCAAGCCAGGTCGATCTGTGAGGGTCCCAGGGCTCGAAATCGAGCGAAAACGCCTGCTGTGAAAAAGTTGCAGCGCCAGGATGTCAGGGCACCACGACGAGAGGGGTCGCGCAGGCGTTGCCGTTGGCCTGCCCTGGCCAGCGGCCGGGCGGCCGGTCCGGCAGAGGGGCCGAGAGTTGGGATCCCCCGCAAAGGAGGGGGGGGGGGGGAGGCGCGGGGGGGGGAGTTCGATTGGTTTTTGCACTGGACCGCCCAAAGCAGATGCCCCCCAGCCGCCGGCAGCTCCCGACAGTTGCCGATAGTTCTGGTGTTCCAACCTACTGTAGCCTTGACCACCAGAGAGAATTTCGAGGACCACGAAAGGTACCGAAATTTCACATGTCGGTTTCTGGGAGGCGATACTCGTTCGACACTGCTTCGATCGATTTCTGCGTGCTCGAAATTAGTTCTGGGATGCGGTCCCCAAGCACGATGGGAGCAACGTAAGCCGATAGGTGGGAGTGCGGAGGGCATCTGTTTGCGGCAGTTCGTTTTCGGCACCGCCTGATCCCGAGGCTTTGCCTCCTCCCGGCCTTGCCGTGAGGCCGCGCTCCTTCTGTCCCCCCCTCTTTGTTAATTCAAGCTTCGCGCGGCCCGCTTAGCTTCGACCGGAAGAGGTGCGCTCTCGACCCGCGAATCAAAAAACTGTGTGCGGCAGTTCGGTGCACCAGAGGATCGAATCGATGCCCCCCCCCCTCAGGGTCACCCCCCTTTGGTGGATCCCGAGCGGAGGGGGGTCGCCGTCGTGAGCGTGACCGCTGTTCGGAGGCCAGGGCGCCCCAGGGAAGAGGAGCAGCGACCCCCACGAGGACGAGTCTGGGCCTCCCGGAGGATCGGGGTTCGAGGGTCCACGAGGTTACCAGGCCAGCCACAACTGGGGGAGCTGTGGTCCTTGCCCCCCTGGGGGGCCCATCGATTTCGACACCCAGGGGGGTTGGACCACAGCTCCCCCAGTTATGGCTGGTCGGGTTACAGTCGGACCCAGGCCAGAAGAGCATCCTTGGGGAAGAGCAAAGCTCCGTCGGCCAAACCAGACAGAGCGTCCAAGGGTGCCCTTCCCCAGGATGCACCGGGGTGCCCTCCCCGAACCGACCCCGATCTCTGGGCCTCCGAGGTAGGGTCCGAGCAGATGGGGTCCGAGGATCGCGCCGCACCGCCGATGTACCGCAGATGCGGCGATGTGGGGCACGACTTTCTCCACGGCGCGGCGGTGAATCGCCGACGTATCGCCAATGCGGCGCGATCCTCCGACCCCCCCTCCCACTCGGACCCCATCTGGGAGGCCTCCAGCAGCGACCCCCGCGAGGACGAGGCCCCTGCCGACGGACCTGCGCTGGGGCTGCTCCTCGACGCTTGTTTTGCTGGAGCTGGGCTGGGCCTGGCGTGCAATCCCGTTCATGTTCGTTGGTCTCGGTGCCCACCTTCGGCGGCGAGAGCGAGGGTGATAATTGAGAAGGAGAAGGCCTTCTCAGAAGGCGGCGGGGCTTCTCAGAAGCCCTCGGGCCTTCTGAGAAGTTCCCTGTGCCATCGGGGAAGGCTTAGACAACCTCTCAGAAGGCCGGGGGACTTCCGAGCCTTCCGAGAAGGCCCGCCCCCTCTCACTTCCCCCCCGGGCTGGCCGCAGAATACGGTCCCGTGCATTTTCGTTGGTCGCGGTGCCCGCGTGGACGAGGGGGCGGAGGGGGGTCGCCCTCGTGAGGGTCGCCGCTAGTTTTCAGTCGGGCATGTCCCTCTACAGGAGGAATTTCCAAGAATAGTTAAAACAAATGTCAAGCGACGATTGTTCGTGCTCTTTGGACTAGCTCTGGCTATGGATTATTTTCCTTCCAAGATCCGCCTGCAGGAGGACATGACCGACCCAACCCTAGTCGGAGGCCAGGGGGTCCAGGCGGGTACCGCGACCACCGAAAATGCACGGGACCGTATTCGGCGGGCGGCCAGCCCGGGGGGGCAAGTGAGGGGGGGCGGGCCTTCTCAGAAGGCTCGGAGGTCCCTGGCCTTCTGAGAGGTTGTCTGAGCCTTCCTCGAGGGCACAGAAGACTTCTCGCAAGGCCCGAGGGCTTCTGGGAAGCCCCGCCGCCTTCTGATGGGGTCCTTCTTCGAGGGAGAGAAATCGCTGTGGACATAAACTGTTGGCGCTCTGCGCGGATTCCCCCCTGGCGGCGCCTCCGGCGCCGCTCCTGGCGCGCTCCGCGCGCCAGGGAGCAGGGTCTGGCGCAGATCCAAGAAATCCGCTCGAAGCGCCAACAGTTTATGTCTGCGGCGTTTGTTCTTCTTCTACTCCTGCTTCTCACTCCCCCCCCCCCCCCGCGGACTTCTCGCAAGGCCCGAGGGCTTCTGGGAAGCCCCGCCGCCTTCTGATGGGGTCCTTCTTCGTGGGAGAGAAATCGCCCCCGCCCTCGCTCGTCGCCAATGTATGCCCGGCGAGCTCCATCTTCGGCCAAACAAGCGTCGAGGCGCAGCCCCGGCGCGGGCCCCTCGGCAGGAGCCTCGTCCTCGTGAAGGGTCGCTGCGCTTCTCCTGTCGGGGGGGGGTAAAGGCAAGCGCCAGCTGTCGCGCTCGGCATCGCTCGGACGTGTGCATTTTTCCTTCGGCGAGGACCATCGAGGAGCATCCTTGATCATTTGGCGAAAAAACCACGCACGACGCCGAATAAAACACAGGGAATGACGGCCGAGCGATGGCCAGAGCGACATCGCGCATGATAGCCGCCTGCCCGAGTCTCTTGTGAATCTCTTCCCCTCCGCACGGCGGCGGCATTGGAAAGAGAATGTCTTCCTGGGGCCCTGACCCTGGCGCATTCATTCCTTGTTGTTGCAAGGCGAGGTGAGAGGCCCACGTTTGGCCGCCCGTCGGTCGCGAGACCCTGGGTTCCTTATCGAAGGCATCCTTATCTAAAACCTCCACCGTATGATGATCCAGCTGACGCTGCTTACTTGGTTGCTGATTTTTTCATTTAAGCGTTTCGCCCATTCCGCCGGCCCGTGTTGTGCCATCGAAGGCGTTTGCCTGCGCGGCCATAGCCTCTTGGGGCCGTTTGGGGGCCTCTTGGAGCCTCTTTTTAGGCCTCTAGGGAGCCTCGTGGGGCCTCCAGGGGGCCTCATGCGCTCTCTTGGGGGCCTCTTGGGGCTTCCTGGGGGCCTTTTGGGGCGGAAGGCTCGAATTGGTGGTTCGTGTTTCCCCTCCTCTTGTCGGTCATGTACGGCCCCTTCGTCCGTGGCCGCACCTCAAGCAGGCTACTACCTGGTCGCGGATTGGACTACCACCCTGGGCCTCTTCCGCATCACCCGGTGGCACAACGTTGCACATCGCTTTCGTGGTGTTTTTCTTTTTCCTGGGACTCCTCCGCATCATCCGGTGGCACAACGTTGCTCATCGCCTTCGTGGTGCTCTTCTCACTCCTGGGCATCGACCTGGTCAAGTGGCGCGTCCTCTTCCGCAGTGCTTGAGGCTGGTGTTTTCGGCGTGCCGCTGACGGCTACACCATCTCCTTCGCCTTCCGGGTCTTCGCGCCCGGTCCTCGTCCGCGGCGTACCTTCTCGTGCGCAAGCTCTTCGACACCGCCTGCGCCCCGGGCTCCACCTGTTCCGGCCGCCTGAGGCCCCACCTTCCTGTGCCCTGTCCTTTTAATTAAAGCTGCGCGTCGCCCGCCTAGCTTTTAGCGGAAGAGGTTCGCTCTCGCCCCGCAGACAAAAAAAAAGATTCCCCTCCTCTTGGGGCCGTCTGGGGGGTTTCTTGGGCGATTTTGGGCGCCTCTGGCGTCGTTTTGGGGCCCTCTTGGACCGTTTCGGGGGCCTCTTGGGCCGTCTTGGAGCGGCGGGAAGCCGAACAGATGAGAACGCCACGGTCCTTCAAAAACCGCAGGGACATCGATGGTTGTTGCCTCCTGGGGCCCTCTGGACACGTTTCTTCGAGGCCTA